CTTACCCGAAGACTTACCCTAAACCGTCCCCTAAGCCTAACCCATACACTAACACTAACCCATACCCTAACACGTACGCTACCCCTAAACCGTTGTCGTACCCTAACGTGTACCCTAAACCCTCCCCATTCCCTAAACCTAACCCTTACCTGAAGCCTTACCCTAAACCGTACCCTAATCCTAACCCGTACACTAACACTCACCCGTACCCTAACATGTACATTAACCCTAAAATGTTGTCGTAGCCTAACCTGTACCCTAAACTGTCCCCGTTACCTAATCCTAACCCTAATGCTAACCCTTACCCGAAGCCTTACCCTAACCTGCAACCTAATCCTAACCCGTACACTAACACTAACCTGTACCCTAACACGTACGCTAAACATTTGTCATACCCTAACCTGTACCCTAAACAGTCCCAGGTCTCTAATCCTAACCCTAACCCTAACACTTACCCGAAGCCTTACACTAACCCGTACCCTAATCCTAACGCTTACAACAACACTAACCTCTACGATAACACGTACGCTAACCCTAAACCATTGTCGTACCCTAAACTGTACCCTAAGCCATCACCATTCCCTAACCCTAACCCTTACCCTAACCCTAAACCTTACCCGAAGCCTTACCCTAACCCGTACCATAATCCTAACCCATACACTAACACTAACACATATCCTAACACGTACGATAACCCTAAAATTTTGTCGTACCTTAAACTGTACTCCAAACCGTCTCCGATACCTAACCCTAACCCTAAACCTAACCTTTACCAAAAGCCTTCTCCTAACCCGTACCCTACTCCTAACCCGTACACTAACAGTAACATATATCCTAACACGTACGTTAACCCTAAACCGTTGTTGTACCCTCAACTGTACCTTAAATTGTCCCCATTCTGTAACACTAACCCTAACCTTAAGCCAGCCCTAAACCTTACCCGAAGCCTTACCCTAACTGTACCCCAATCCTAACCTGTACACTAACACTATCCCGTAAACTAACACGTACGCTAACCCTAAACCATTGTCATATCCTTACCTGTACCCTAAACTGTCCCCGTTCCCTAAACTTAACTGTAACCCAAACCCTAACACTAAACCTTACCTGAAGCCTTACCCGAACCCGTACCCTAATCCTAACTAGTACACTAACACTAACTCGTACCCTAACACGCACGCTAACCCTAAACTGTTGCCATACCCTAACCTGTACCCTAAACCGTCCACGTTCCCTAACACTAACCCTAACCCTTACCCGAAGTCTTACCCTAACCCGTATCCTAATCCTAACCCATACCCTAACACGTGTGCTAACCCTAAACCGTTGTCATACCTTAACCTGTACCCTAAACCGTCCACATTCCCGAACACTGACCCTAACCCTAACCGGAAGCCTTACACAAATCCGTACCCTAATCCTAACCCGTACACTAATACTAACTGCTAACCTTACACGTACACTAACCCTAAACCGTTGTCGTACCCTAAACTGTACCCTAAACCATCCCCGTCCCTAACCCTAACCCTAACCCTTACCTGAAGCCTTACCCTAACCCGTCCCCTAATCCTAACCTGTACGCTAACAATAAACCGTACCCTAACACATACGCTCACCCTAAACCGTTGTCATACCCTAAGCTGTACCCTAAACTGTCCCCATCCCATAACCCTAACCCTAAACCTTATCCGAAGCCTTACCCTAACCCGTCCCCTAATCCTAACCCGTACGCTAACAGTAACCCGTATCCTAACACGTATGCTCACCCTAAACTGTTGTCGTACACTAACCTGTACCCTAATCCGTCCCCATCCCCTAACCCTAACCCTAATCCTAACCCTAACCCTAACCCTTACCCGAAGACTTACTCTAACCTGTCCCCTAATCCTAACCCGTACGCTAACCCTAATCCGTACCCTAAGATGTACGCTCACCATAAACCATTGTCATACCCTAAACTGTACCCTAAACCGTCCCTGTCCCCATCCCCTAACCCTAACCCTAACACTAAACCTAACACTTACCCGAAGCCTTACCATAACCCGTAACCTAATCCCAACCCGTACGCTAACACTAACCCGTACCCTAACATGTACGCTCACCCTAAATGTTTTTGTACCCTGAACTGTACCCTAAACCGTCCCCGTCCCCTAACTGTAACCCCAACCCTAACCCTAACGCCTACCTGAAGCCTTACCCTAATCCGTACCCTAATCCTAACCCGTACACTAACACTAACCTGTACCCTAACACGTACGCTAATCCTAAACTTTTGTCGTACCCTAACCTGTACCCTAAACCGTCCCCATGCCCTAACACTAGCCCTAACCCTAACCCTTACCTGAAGCCTTACCCTAACCTGTACCTTAATCCTAACCCGTACACTAACACTAACACATACCCTAACATGTACGCTAACACTAAAACTTTGTCGTACCCTAAACTGTACGCTAAACGGTCCCGGTTCTCTAACCGTAACCCTAACCCTTACCCGAAGCCTTATCATAAACCGTACCCTAATCCTAAACCATACACTAACACGTACCCTAACACGTACGCTAACCCTAAACCGTTGTCGTACCCTAACCTGTTCCCTAAACCATCCCCGTTCCCTTACCATCATCCTAAACCTAAACCTAACCCTTACCCGAAGCCTTACCCTAACCCTTCCCCTAATCCTAACCCGAACACTAACACTAACCCATACCCTAACACGTATGCTCAACCTAAACGGTTGTCGTACCCTAACTTGTGCCCTAAACCGTCTCCGTCCCCTAACCCTAACCCTTACCCGAAGCCTTACCCTAAGGTGTCCCCTAATCCTAACCCGTACGCTAACACGAAACCATACCCTAACATGTATGCTCACCCTATACCATTGTTGTAAATCTATCCTGTACCCTAAAACGTCCCCGTCCCCGTCCCCTAACCCGTCCCCTAATGCTAACCCATACACTAGCACTAACCCATACCCTAACACATACGCTCAGTGTAAACCGCTGTCGTACACTAACCTGTACCCTAAACCGTCCCCATCCCCTAACCCTAACCCTTACCCAAAGACTTACCCTAACCCGTCCCATAATCCTAACCCGTATGCTAACACTAACCCATACCCTAACACGTATGCTAACCCTGAACCGTTGTTGTACCCTAACCTATACCCTAAACTCTCCCCGTCCCCGTCCCCAACCCTTACCCTTACCCAAAGCTTTACCCTAACCCGTCCCCTAATCCTAACCCGTATGCTAACACTAGCCCATACCCTAACACGTACGCTAACCCTAAACTGTTGTACCCTAACCTGTACCCTAAACTGTCCCCGTCCCCGTCCACTAACCCTAACCCTAACCCTTACCTGAAGCCTTACCCTAACCCTTCCCGTAATCCTAACCCGTACGCTAACACTAACACATACCCTAACACGTACGCTCACCCCAAACAGTTGTACCATAACCTGTACCCTAAACCGTCCCGTAATCCTAACCCGTACGCTAACACTAACACATACCCTAACACGTACGCTCACCCCAAACAGTTGTACCATAACCTGTACCCTAAACCGTCACCGTCCCCTAAACCTAATGGTAAACCTAACCCTTAACCGAAGCCTTACCCTAACACGTCACCTAATCCCAACCCGTACGATAACACTAACACGTACCCTAACACGTATGCTCACCCTAAACTGTTGTCATACCCTAACCTGTACCCTAAACCATCCCCTAACCCTAACCCTAACTGTATCCCTAACCCTTACCCGGAGCCTTACCCTAACCCGTCCCCTAATCTTAACCTGTACGCTAACACTAACCCATACCCTAACATGTATGCTCACTGTAAACCATTGTGGTACACTAACCTGTACCCTAAACCGTCCCCATCCCCTAACCCTCACCATAAACCAAACCCTAACCCTTACCCGGAGACTTCCACTAACCCATCCCGTAATCCTAAACCATAAGCAAACACTAACCCATACCCTAACATGTACGCTCACCCTTAACCGTTGTCATACCCTAACTTGTACTCTAAATCGTCCCCGTCCCCAAACCCTAAAGCTAACCCTTACCCGAAGGCTTACCGTAAACCGTCCCCTAATCCTGAACCGTACGCTAACAGTAACCCATAACCTAACACGTACGACCACACTAAACCGCTGGCGTACCCTAACCTGTACCTAAACCGTCCCCATCCTCTAACCCTAAGCCTTACCCTAACCCTAACACTTACCCAAAGCCTTACCCTAACCCGTCCCCTAATCCTAATCCGTACACTAACACTAACCAGTACCCTAACACATACGATACAAGTTAAATATCCCAGAAAGCGAAAAACGGATAAAGAAGTTGTGGTACTTATGTACTATGGAATATCACTCAGCAATGAAATCCATGTCATCAGGCCCATGGCAGAATAACGAGTGGATTCAGGTACGATGATTCTACGTGAAATAAGTCACACAGAAAAAGAAACATCATAAGATACCACAATACACGGAATGTAAACTTGGCTACACATGAACTGAATTACAGAACAGGGTCTCAAATTTAGAAAACCAGCTTATGCTTGCTTTAGGGGAAAGGTGAGTTGAAGCGCTGCATAAAACCAGAGATTGAAATTAGCACAGATACTGTTCCATAAGCCAAATATGTAATAGACAAGACCTACACCTTGCTCAACGAAATGGACTCAACACCCCATATTCATGCCTAGGTATATACCTGAATAGTAAGAATCTTAAAACCTATGGATATATATGTCTCCATAAGAGAATCAAGTGTGTGTACAGTGGAATGAACGCAGCAGTAAAAATCATCTAAATCCTTTATAAAAATAAATTTCAAAAGCAAAACACAATGACAGTGAAATAGAGAGGAATTTTTAAATAATTCATTCGGGGCTTGTGATGAAACCTGGATTTACCACATCTACACCCACAGCTGGGTGAGACATAAGGCTGGACACTTGGGGCTGATAGGATTGGTGAGATTTGGTGAACAAATGCAGACCCTTTGAGGTAATACTGCATGGTACCCATTCCAAGGGTCCCAACTCTCCAGGTTTAAGGGATTCTTCCTTCAAATAAAACATGCATGGGGAACCCAGAGTATGGTGCACCGTGTGATTGGGAATCGTTTTTAAATGCATCTCAGTTTTCGTTCCCTGGTACTCGGGTTCGCCATTCGAGATGCTTTAGTATCAAACTGCCCACTTGGAGAGCCAGTGCCTTTAACCTCCTGTTTGGCACAGTTTGCAATTTCTGTGGAAGATGAACAGGAATAGGGAGAACCAATGAGAGACTAGCCATAGGTGTCTGGACGGGTACATTTAACTCTAAATTCCCATCAGGAAGAGGAATTAACCAAAGGCTCAGTGTGCCATGCCAGAACCAGATTAGGGCCTGAAGCAATGCTGCGGCTTTGCGGCCAGCTCACAAGAAAGCAAGTTGAAGAAAGGAGCTCAGGGGCACT